TTCTGTAGCAAAAGCATTTTTTAAAAATAGGGAGTGTCAGTTATTGCCCATGAGAATTGAGCATTTGCCTTGGAAAAGTTAGAGTTTGGTGAAACGACATCGTTTACTTGATGGGAGTCAAACTTTAAGAGTTTTGTGGCCATGAGGCCATAGACTGTTCTGGGGTGAAGCAGAGGGCTGCAGTTTCCTGCTGAGGTGTGCCTTTGCAGAAAGCCGTTTCAGAGTAGTGGGGTCACAGAGTGGGAAGGTGACTGTCTTTTTTAGAAATTAGGCCTCTGATCTCAAGATTAGTGGTTGTTGGTATCATTGTTGCCTATTTCAGCTTCAGAGACTATGTATTTTGCTGAAGAACAGTCTCAGAAGTACAGGTGCAAACTAAAGCTACACGCTACTAGGATTATGGTTAGCTCTTAAGTTGGAGAGTCGTGCTTACACTTGCTCTTTTTTTGTCTGCACCTGCTGTAACAGAAGAGTCAGAGGGGCCTAATAAGATCCTTTCAAGCAGTAAGAGAAAAAGCTTGTACCTTCTGGTACCTTCTGCATACACCCAGTGTAAGAAGCAGGTGTGATGTCACCTTTTATGGTTGTCCTAGTAACAAGTTAAGCTGTTATTCAAGAGAGCATGTACTAAGCTCTGCAGACAAGGTAGGTGGAAGAACTCTCACTTTTGGATTTGAATAAATTGTAGCATGAATTGTTTGTTGCTATCAAGACTGAACATACCTGCAGGTGGCCAGAAGAGAGTGCAGGCTGTGGATGCACAGGGCTAAGCTGCAGCTGAGCAGGGTTGAGCTGACAGCTGGGGAGGAGTGTATAGAATGGATCTAGGTGAGCAAATCAGTATTATCAGCAGAAATGACAGAAAACCCTTGAGATTAACAGCATCACTTCATTGCATGGAGTAAGGCAGAAGTGCTGCAGAAATAGTAGTTTGGGCATCGACGCTATCTAAATGGATGATCGCATGGGGCAGAGGTGTAACAATGGGCGAGTTGTCCAGTCTAGGAGTAAATTTTCAATGCCCAATTTAAGCCCAAGCCTTTTCTTTTTTTTTTTTTTCATAAAAAAAAACGTAGTTATAGTAGGTGTATGTGGAGGGAGAGGGTGTAGAATACTGTAGCATTATCACACAGATATTCTAGCCTTGTGTACTCACTCCCCTCTCTTCAAGTACTTGTACCTGAACTACATCCTCAGCCAACCTCCTAAACCTTGAAGCCAAAAAGAAGGAAAATCTACTGGTCAGTAGTAGGTACTTAATAGTAAAACATCATTATAGTGCCTGTGCATATGCATAACCCACACTGCTGTTGGGGGGCTGTAAGCCGTGCAAAATGATTACTTATTTGGTACTCATCCATCAAGGGATTAGGCAGTAAATATACTAATTGTGTATTAGTAAATATAGTAAATTGAGCACTGGATTTAACTGCTGAGGGTAGGTAGCTGGGAATGACGCCATCCCAGTAAAAGCAGAGTGTAAAATGCCCTTGCCTAGCCAGTGACTTGGAATAGTCTGAGGGAGAGGAAAGCTCCTAGAAAAGTTTGCAATTATATTTCTAGGTGATGTGTTAATGAATGTATCAAGCTGATTGCTCAAGCAAGAATATCCGGTAATTAGCAGTTATGTCTGTGGTATGAGTCTTATGAGGCAGATAACCACCTTGAAGAACTGTCTGCAGTTCAGCCTGCTGGTGGCGAATGATGCAGGAAGATCTCAGAAACGGTTTCAGAACCGGCTCAACAGAACAATAAACCACTGCAAGAGAGGAGTCTGAGGAAAGGTTTCTAGAGAGAATCCCAGAAGGCTGCTGCTGCCCCATCTGAACTCAGTGGGTGAACTGCAGTAACGGGGGGTACATTGACCTGTTTGCTGGAGCAAGGACCGTAGCGTTCCTGGCATCAAACCACAGAAGTCAGTTGTGCTGATTTATTTCCTATCACAATTGAGTTGGACTCACAATATGATGGGAAGAAGGTTCAAGAGTATTCTTCCTGCCTTTCTTTAATTCATACTGCTTAAAGTGCCATTGCTTTTTCACACTCATGGTTAAAAAAAAAAAGTCACAGCTGAAGTGTTTTAAAAATGCCACTCCTGTAGTGCTAACATTCTCTCTTTTTTCCATCGATCTTTTATGCCTGTTTTCATTGTATCTTGCTATAAAGATCCTGAGAGAAAAAAGCACTGCCTTTCTATGCTGATCAAGTTCAGTTCGTACCCGATGCTTCATAAAAAGCACAGTTAGTGTATGCTAGTGGCTGATTAGCGAGCTCAAAATAACCTATCAGCACTTAGAGAAAAAAACTTGGACGTGAAGGGCATGTCTTTAGCCAAGTAGCTATTGGAAACTTGATAGAAGTGCTGACTTCTTTAATTATGTAAAGAATCTTGTTACAGTTCAGGTTACTAAAGCTGGGAATGGGAATAAACAAGCATTTGGAAGTGAAATTTTCTATTGTAAGACATATTTACAGAAAAGCCACAGGAGAAGCGTTAGAATGAGATTTTACTACTAGCTACATTATTCTCCCTGTTTAGGCATGAACACGGTCCATCTGTGAGTGAAACTTTGAGTTGTAAAATTTCAGTTTGTGCAGGAATACTGTGTTTTGACTTCAAAAGGTGCTCAGGATTATTCTGTGGAATTTATCCTGCAGAACAGAACTGTTCTAAACACATGGAGTTCAGATGCGGGACTTCAATTTTTTCGCAGAAGCGGTTTCCTAGAGTTGCCTGATGAAAATCGTGCCTCAGAGGGCATTATCTAATTGTTCACAGCATTGAACAATTCTAGTTTCCTAGTCTACAGGAAAATTGCAAAGCATATAATATTTCAGGGACCTAACTAATACTTCACTTGTTAAAATTGTGAACAGGGCTTTGCAGGAATCCTGTGAAAAGGAAATAGCAGGAAGAGAGTGATCTATAAAACAGCCAACTAGAAAATCTGCCAATGTGAAAAGCTTTTGGAGGCTTGGTTTTTGAGGGGATAGTCGAGATTCACTGCTGTTCATAGGGAAGATTGAGGAACAGCCGAGTTTGGTGGGTGTCTGTAGCTGCAGGGAAGGAATCTGTGATGAGGAGATGCAGGATTAGAGATGGCAAAACAATCGCTGTGCCTAGTTGCATTGAATACAGGATTCCTTTCTCAAGAGGGAAGGGGAAGGAAAAAAGTTAATTGTAGCCATGGGAAGGGTCCCGTCTGCCTCGGCTCTTGGAAGACTGCAGGAGGAACATGGACAAAGCACCAGGACTTTGTGGGAAACATAACTGAGATTTCAGTATTGTAAGCCAATCAGTGGCAGCACAGTTGAGGCTTCTTGACAGCAGTGGTTTGTCAATAGAGACAGAGCGCTGTTCTTTTTGCAAACTATAGTAATAAAGATTCTGCTTCTTGATCTGTGTGTTTTTGCTGTTACAGCCAGAACAGCCTGTAGCTCCTCTTCCGTCTTGAGAAAAGGCTCTACCTGCTGTTTTGATTGATTGAAGCTCACTGGAGACAGAGGAAGATTTAACACTGACTTGGGGGCTTCTCTTCATAAGTTTAAGTAGACAGATAGCCTTAAAACACGTTTCAGAGTTTAGATTTGCAGAGTGAGAACACAAAGCAGGGAAACCCCTGCATTGTTGGGATGGCAGCAATTGTGACATTATAAAAGAATTGCTTTAATTAAAACTCTCTGAAGACAGGAAATCTTTCTTCCTGAGCATAACCCAAACAAAGAGTGTGTTGCTGCTCTACAAAGCACTCCACACAAAGCAGTCACTACTTCAGGGCTATCTACTGGACTGTGTAGGTGCTGTGGTGCTTATTTCTGCAGTCCCTGGGGACCGAACAAGTATCTGCAGGTGCTGTAAGTTCAGTACCTACAGGTCATATTCCTGCTTCACTCCTTCAAAAAAAGTCTTGATTGCTGTGTATTTAAAAACATTCTGGGGCCATGCTACAGGATGCAGAGGCACCGTTCTCCAAGGAAGAACTCCTCTCTCTCCTGGTCCCATGTTCTTCAGAAGAAAAAGAAACTTTTGATAACACCATATTCAAAAGGAATAGTGATTTTATTATCCTTGGAAATATTTACCTCTTTTTGTTACTGCAAGGCAATACAAGCAAACCTCCATTATCTATTTCTGTCTATGTTTTTCCAACACACAATTTCCACTGTATCACTTGCAGAAAAATTATAGAGTAATGAGAGGTGGAACTGCCACAACCATTTTCTACTGTGACAGGGGAAAATGCAACTATGCATTTTAAAGCCTTTATAAACCATTTTAAAATAACAGCTATGTACATCAGAACATCAGGTAAAAACTATTTGAGAAATTATAACATTAATTAGATTATTAATTAAAATTAGATTAAATTAAATTACACTTAAAAAGGAAGATGTTCAACTCGGAAAAGCCATTTCTGTACAAATGGAAATTGTTCTTGTTGAGGGTATTAAGCTTCAAAGACAGCAAGAACTGAGATTACCTGGAAAAGTACTTCTAGTTTTTCTTTAAAAAGATAAAAGGAGGGGGGACAGGAGATGGAAGTTTTGCTGATAGTCATTCTCCTTCTACTCTTGGTTACTTGTCTCTGTGCGGCAAATGAGCAAGAAAAGGAAAAAAATGCTCAAAAGACAAATTAACAGCATAGAAAACTGTAATTACTTTGACACCTTAAACAACTCAGACATGTTCAGCAACAGAAGCAGAAGTCATTTTCAAACTAACTGCATTTCAGTTATAGCTATTCAAACAGCTTATTCCAAAGGATGAAGAATTCTGGTGATAAAATGCATCATTTGATAAACATTATGTAAATCAAGTTTGTAATGTTTTTGGTTCCAGCCAGAATCAGACAAAAGAAAGTTCCAAGCTGCAGTGCAGAGCTGTTGGCCATGTCACAGCTGAGGTGTCTGGCTTCATGGCCAGCCTTGCTTTGGAAATGTAAACTGGTTTTGCAACAGTTTTCAAGCATGAAACTGAGTAACTTTGTTCTGTGTCACAGGAATCATGTATCGCAAATCCTGCGCGTCCTCGGCAGCGTGTCTGATAGCCTCTGCTGGGTACCAGTCCTTTTGTTCTCCGGGGAAGGTGAACTCTGTTTGCATCAGCTGCTGCAACACCCCGCTCTGCAATGGACCCCGGCCCAAGAAGAGAGGGAATTCTGGCGCAGTGCTGAGGGCACACGCGATAACCACCGTTCTGCTCCCGAAATTGGCTCTTTTGTTCTTGTATCGCTAAACTTCAAGCAAGTTTTCTGCCCTGTCACAGTTTGTTCTGTCTCCTCCTTCCTTCAAAGACACTGCAATTATTTTCTGTTTGTTTCCAGATCCCTGTCAACAAGCGAGGGAAGTTCAGTGGCTGTGGGAAGAGGGGCTGATATTTTTGGCAGCTAGTGAATTCGGTTAGCAGATTGAATTTCCAGTGTGCACTTAAAAACCCAACAGCAGGATACAGAACTCCTGCGCTTTTTACATAATTGGAAACAAATCTATCTGTGTTACTCCTCCTAAGATGTAGTCAATTCCTCAGTCATTTTAATTTTCCATATTTCTAAGTTCATCGCTAATCATTAACTTTGCCTTATGAAGTCATACGTCATGTTCACAAAGGCCGTTTTGTGTGTCTGGACTGGGCTCTGAGCTACTCTCTAGCGACACGACTTCCAAGCTGGGCTCTGGTGCTTCAAGACCCGGTTTCTGTGGACTGCAGTCAGGCTTGGTCTCATTCTGAAAAGTACTTAAATAAACTTTGTTGTTGCCCTTTGTAGAAGAATTGCGCCTGGACGACATGAAGAGCAGCGGGCGTAGAGATCGGTTGCTCCTTGCTTTGGAGCTCATGTTGGCTCTGAGATACTTTTCCTTATTGGCATGCTCTATTGTCAGGCGGCAGCGGAGGACCTGCAGGAACACACTGCGGAACTGCTGAGAAGAGATGTTGTAGAGGAGGGGGTTCACCACCGAGCTGAGGTAGAAGAAGATGTCTGCGATGGGGAGAAGAGTGATGTACGCTCTGAAGTAGGTGACAGTCCAGTCCTGCTTTGGTTTAGCAGCAGCCATGATCCTTCTGACCTGGTTTGGCATCCAACATATTGCCAGAGTTGCAACAATCAGTCCTGCCAACAGAAAGAGGAAGAAAGAAGTGTGCATACATGGGGGAAAAAACATAAAATATTTAGTATCGGTTCTGCACTTACTTGTTAGGAAATAGTATCAATTTTTCACTGTTTTGCTTGACAGCTTTTTCTGCCAGTAACATTTTTTTGTTTGTTGTTTTTAATAACTGTTACAAGGTCACTGCAGCACATGCTCTGACAAAAGACTGCAGAGTGCTTGGATAGTGTTTCTTTGTACCTACTGTCATTTATTAGTTATCAAAGCGTTCTTTCATTGATATCTGCGTCTTTGGAAAGAATGCATTCTGTTTGTTTGTTTGTGTTCTTACATTTCTTATGTCTTTCCCTTTACTTTGAAAAACAAACAAAATAAATAGAACCTATAGCCATATTAGATCAGGCAATACCCAGAAGAGATCAGATTCTTGTTTGTACTTTACAAAAAAAAAAAAAAATAATGTATGCATAATAATATATTTCGTGTTATTTTTGGTAAATTTCCTCTTACAGAAGATATTTTTAAGTAAAATATGTACGGATCTTTTTATGGTAATTAAGATATGTTGGGCTTTCTTAAAAATCAAATTCCAGTGGAATTAAATTATGAATGTAAATGAGAAAAAACCCAAGCCTAGTCATGAAAGTGTAAGCAGTTTCAGATTATAAATTATGCTTAAAAATGTGGTATCTGACCATTTTGTATTTATATGTAAATATAAATACATGTTGCTGCATCACTAATGGCATTAAAAAGAGGGTGACTTAAGTGTTAGATGTCTGAAAATTCTGCCTCTGTGGCCCGGCGTTCCCTAGGGCTGCAGCAGTGACACCGTCTTCAGAATGGCAGCCCTGGAGAAACGCACGGGTGAACTTGAGCGGGCTGTTCCTGGGCCAGAGCCAGGGAAAGGGGCTCAAATCCTCGCTGGCATCCACGCCTGGTGCACGTAAGTGCTGGAAATCCAGACATCTTGCACGAAATGCCAGGTACACAAAATAATTCCTCTCGGTGCTCCCCCCACCAAGCACTACTTCGGAAACACGGTGCAGCCACCCGTTTACTGTTTCCACTTTCTTTTTCTCTTTGCAGGAAATGTGCCTTGTATGAACACCCAACGGGAGCAGAAGCTGCAGGTTGGCTTCCCTGCTGTGGAGGCACAAAACAATAGAGAGCACCCTGAAGGTGCACAGTTTTCACTTCCAGTAGACTTTTGTTATATTGCTAATTTTCAATGTCGAGCCTCCTTTCTCAACAGAAGCACAGAAATGTTTCCATTCTTATCTGGCTAGACCAAGTCGGTTGCCCACATTGAACAGACCACTGTGGGAATGCAGTTCTGAAGTAGCACACTCTGATTTCTTCAAGCCAGGAAGATGATGCTTCAATAATGGGAAGACATGAATGTAACAGGCAAGGGGGGCAGAACAGAGAAGAAAAATTTTTTTCATAACTTTGAGACTGCCAGAGCTTAAGCAGAGTATGTCCAACTGCTCTCCACCACCACGCAAAGAAAAGGTATGAAATGTCATCTTTTTTTTGGAAGAAATTAATTTTCTTAATGAACGCTATAATTACTTTAACAACTTTATCATCTTACTGAGAACTGAGATACCAAATAAAACTTGTCCCTTTGATCATCTGCTTCTGTAATCACTTAAGGTCACAGTAATTTTGGTAGGATGGGGAAGCAGCATATCCTAGACTTACAGCAGTAGCTGAAGAGCCCTGGACGGCTGTTCTAGAAGGTGAGCTGTTGCCCTTGCCCTTTTCTGTTCTTTAGTGACCGTAACTCTCCTCAGCTGCAGCCTCTTTATTCCCATTCCTACACGATCCCGTGCCCCTTTGCTTGGCTGCCCAGCTCTTCCACTTCTGTCTTGCCTCATTTTTCAGTACACGATCTGTCCCTGTCATAAGATGATCTGAATTTTGTATTAAAAGTCCTGCAAGTTTTCCAGCCCTCAGTGCTTTCTTCTCTGCTCTCAGCATAACAAATACAGGGATAGTATTGTTCTGTCCTGGCACGGACCAAAAGAAAATCAGGAACTCTGAGCAGTGACTTATAGAAAGGCAGCGAAAGGATTCTATTGCTCCACTGTGACTTTTTCTCCTGTGCAACTTAAATGCAAAGCCCACAAACCCAGGTCTGCAGAATCCTTGTCAAATTTTACCGAATGATCTCTTTCAAGGGAAAAGAAAATAAGCTCGACTGCGTAAATTTTTTTTTTGTTCTTAGTTAGAAACAGGATACTTCATCGTACTGATTAATAGTTTCCTAAATTATGAATGCTGCTGTGAGAAACCGAGCAAACAATGTGTGCATTCAGTTTTAAAGCTCAAATGCAGTGCTCTGGGATTTGTGATTCCTTTGCTTGTATCTGGATTCTTTGCCATTGACCTTTCTTTTTAGTTCAAATTGCCAAATGCTTAAGATTCCCCCTTATATTCTTTGGACACTTTTGTTCTGGGGAATTAAATATTTCGTTGCGTGTGTAGCAAGTGAAAAATGAGCTGCTTGTGCCCTTGCACAGTGTGGTGAGGCTTTTGCAGGATGGGAGGAGACGTCTGTAAAACTTTGTTGTTTTCCAGGGATGAGTAATTGTTCATTTTTACGCTTGAAAAAAATGCCTGTTAATTCAAAGGAGATGCACCATGTAAATAAACATGCTGACAAATTCACTATATTTTTTCCAACTGTTCGCACTTGACGTGGAGGTACAAAGTAAACTGAAGTGCATCAGAGGAAAAGCATTATGTTCACAATTTGGCATATTAAATATTTTGACTGAATCACTGCTGCCATCAATTGAACTGGTACCCAGGCTGTAGAAGTCAGTGTTGTACTGTAACGTGCAGAAGGTGCTTAAAGAACATTGTATCAGCTTGAATGTAGACTAACCTGCCTCTTACATGGGTACTGGTCCGTTTTTCACTAGAGCTTGCTGCCTGCTGGGAATTAAACTCTTTCACATTTCCTCTCGTATCCAACTTTCCCTTCCACTCCCCTTACTGAAGTGAAAAAAATTAGTAGCTCCGTTTTTTTTCCATTTTCCTGGAGACTGCACTGAAGTGACACACTAGATGAGAGCGGAGATTTATCTTCCATGGAATAATGATGTTTATAAACAAAGTAATGCTGTGGACCAGTGACCTCCATCACTGGCACTTGAAATTTCTAACACACATTTGAATGACTCAGTTTAATCACCAGAAGTGCATTAGACCATGCCAACAGAAGCCAGGAGCCCTCCTGTTATCTAGTTGACTATGTGTAAGTGAATACATCTCAACCTTTAAGTGTTTGATCTTATAATCTATTTAACATTGACGTAGAGATTTCAAGGTAAAAAAAAAACAACCAAACCATGAAAAGATCCTTGACTAACATCCTTTTCAAAAGCTAAGCCATAAGCCAGCCACAAAATAGTTTACCCCAAAGAGGAATTTCCACATTCAACTACTATTTTAATCTGAAAAAAAAATCCACCCTAAACCTCTTTAAAACCAAAGCATACAAATTTAACAGTGATTTAAATTTGGGAATTGTTATTGTAACTTCCCAAAAGCGGATCTTACAATATTAATTCTTAATATGTGACAAAGGATCATTTATGTAGTAAAATAAACCTAGTATTTAAGTGCCAATAATATAAATACGCATTGCTGGCACAGAATAGGAGTTTGGCAGTCATCTGTCCCTTAGCAATACTTTTTTATTACTCGGAACATTCCTCTGGGCCATAGGGGACTGAATTAAATTCATTATGAACTTTATTGGGAAGGATTTTAAATATGTGCAAATGTCTGGTAGAGTGGAGGAGGGTTCTTTCTCCACTTCCAGATTTTGTTCATTCTTCTATTGAATAGATTTTTGTCTTTTTTTTTCTGCACCTGAGCACTTAAATCTGTCTCCTTTTATATTCCAACATTTCCCCCTCTATCCTGGCCACCACCAGCCGTCCCACAAAACTTGGAATTGTCTACAAAATGCTAATTGTCGCTGGGAAATGCCAGCACCAGGCTGCATTTGGCTGCCATAGCCCATTAACCCAGGTTGTTGTGGGGACCCCATGTACGTGGTCCTTTGCCTGTGCCACTTAACCCCGACCGCCCTGGTGCGTCAAGGTCTGCCGGGCTCTGCGGCTACTCTCATCACAATTAGCTTCAGCAGCATTAAACTCAAACTTTGCTTTTCTGTGATTTAATTAATGGCACAAAGGCGGGTTCCCAACATCTGCTTGTAAACTGACATTTAAATGGCAATTGTCAGTGGCATATAAACATATGGTTACTGAGCTATGACTGAAGTGCAGGCAGCGGCGCAGTTGGTTCAGAGGGAGAGTTTATTTAGGGCTCAGTTCACATTTGCATACTTGGCCCGACTGCACTCAAAGGTGTGATGTGACATCAATGCCCTGTGCCGTACTCATACAGCCTCCCAGCCGCGCCTCAGGGGTGTCCGCTCCCCAAAGAGGAAAATACTGAGACCATCCCTCATTCTTAACTCTGCCACCATAAAGCAATACTAATCATGAGGAAAGCTCTCGGTCCCTATTTGATTCTGCTACAAACGGCTTTGAAAACACAAGGGCACGTACCTTCTCACACATCAGGTTCTTGATGGTCATAACACCCATCACCACTAACTGGGGAGAAGGTCAAAAGCAAAGACTCCAGTGCTAATTAACAATGTGACTTTCAGGAGGTGGGGCCTTGGCAGGTATGTTCTGTTTATTATTTTAACCAGGACTCAAAAATCTTGCTCTTCATTAGAAATAGGGACATAAATCATTAGTTTATTGTCTTTCTTGCTTTTAAGAAAAAAGTCAAGCCACAAACCGCAGTCTTCAATCACAGATATGACCTTCCCAACTGCAGATCAATGCAGTGCTGTCTTCCAGCCTCTGCAGCTGCTCCCTGCCTCTGCTGCTGCAGTGTCTGCATGCGAGACATCAGCCACCATATGCTTATTGTCTAGTGACAATTGTCATTTAAACGTCATGTTTAAACGTAAATGTTACTTCATTGCTGTGAGTCTGACTCTGAGTGCAGGAAGGAAACCAACCCTAGTGGTAGCGGATGGCTGTTGGCACTGCTCGGCAGCAGGAGCCATGCAGATGGCACTTCCTGAGTGGTGGTAACCTGAGGAAGACTGGAGCATCTCAAGGAGGGGACTGTCTTCTTGGCTGTCCAGCCTCAAGTATTTCCTACCAGTGCTGCCTCTGGCAGGTAAGAGTTTGGAGACGTTTCTCTGGTAGAATTTCAGATCCAAACTTTCAGCTTTTAACAGCTTCTGGTGAATACCTGGTGTCCAGCCACCATCCAGATCAACATGGGACTCAAACCCCTCTCTTGTCTCTGACCAACAGCAACTGGCAGTGTTTCTGCCTAACTGCCAGAGCTGGTATCTCCACATGAATGGGTGCCTATAGCATAAATCATGTCCTAAAAGGCCTCTGTAGATCCCAAACAAGTGGTGACATTCAGTGCTGTCACACCTGCACCCTTTTTGTGCAGCCTGCCCTCATGGTCGGACTGGGAAACCTCTGTCCTCTTGTTCTCTGAGACAGAGAATTAGGATAAGAAGGCAATGGGACATATTGGAAAGATCCTTCAGAGACAGTGACGTGGCCACACTCATCTTGCCCACACACACTTCCTGAATAAATGCAAGAGGCCTGGGTAGGCCACTGCATTCTCTGCAGCGTTGGAGAGGGCACATAACTAGTTCCAGCTGGCAGGCAGACAGCCCCACACCTCACACAGGCATGAGACCAGCTTACCACAGGGATCCTAACAGGTCTGCAGGTGTCCCCTGCTCAGCAGTAACAGCATCATTTTGCAGGCAGCGAGTCACAGCTGGATCTCAGAATCAAAGTCTTGTCGATTCATGTCCTGCCTCTGCAATTCTCCAGGAAGCACCACCCAGCAACCAGGCTGTAAACCAGAAGTGGTGGCTTTGCTGCCCCTTCCACTAGTGACAGTTAATGTCACATTGCCCCAAAATCAATCGCTCAATCCTGCATTCAGTTCATGGAGTGTCACCGCCATCAACAAGGGTTTTGCTTGAGCGCGGGCTGGGGAGTGCTCCGCGTGCGGGATGCAGCACCCGATGGAGTCTGCAACGGGAGGATAGTGATTGATGGAAACTCCCTCTTCCCTCTCAACCGCACGCAGGTTCCTTCTGCTGAAGGACAAACATTATAATAATAATAAGCACATATTGATGTATGTTGAGGGGAATATAAAAATGTATTAACCTGAGAGATAAATATTGATACTGCTTTGTTTGTGTCAATATTTAGTTCAAGGGACAATAAATTTTGATATTCACTGAAACAAGTCAATATGTGCATTGCTACATACATTTTGTATAAGCTCAAATTATTCAGCAACTTTGTTCCTTTTATCCTCAACTTTCAGATTCACAGATTTGCCTTTCAAAAGCGCTTCTCTGGAAGGGAAAGAGGCAATAAATAAATGATCCCTACTCAGGCAGTAACTACAGGGAGAAAATAAGAGATGGCCAGTGCCTATGTCCCAGTGACTTCCCCGTCAGAGTTTCTCTCACCGCCAGGGAGATGTGCAGGCTCACTGTGGGATCTGACGCTGGGTCCGGGCTGGCTGCTAAGGGTGCAGCCTCCTCGGAGAACAGGAGTTTCCCAGTCACTGCCCACCAGCAGCTCACTGCCCCTCCTGTGGAGCCACCTCACCAACAGACCCCGTGCCCAGGGCTTCCACTGGCAAAGCAAAACTGAGATAGAAACCCAGCCCTGTGCTGGTGCTGCAGGGGTGACAAGGACAAAGGAGGCAGCGAGACAGCATTTTTGTCACCAGCACAAACAGGCAAATCTCCAAACACTCACACAGAAGCTCTGGCAAACACACCACAGCCCTTCTCATAATGGGTTTAAAGCGAACAGAAGCCAGTAACAAACTAGTTATCTTTATAAATACGGCTGGAAGGATTAAGCATATGGCCTGGGACAAGCTGTTGCAAAACAGCTCCATGTACATCTGATCCTGTCAACAGCTTCCAGCAAAAAACCAATGGACCAGCAATTCCCAAGGCCTTCAGGGGGATTTGGGTCCATCTAGTGTTCACAACGCTCCTCCCAGCCTCCAGGGTGCTGTACAACGAAATGACATCTCACTACAGCACAGCTGGGTGACAGGACAGTGCTGTCCCATCAAGTGGTGCAATAAATGAAAGGCACCGAGAAGAACCAAGCTGCCTCTTGGTGCAATAAAATCAACCTGCAAGCTATTAATAAATACGTTGCTGTTCTGTTGCACATAAAGTCATCTTTCTTCCAACAGAAAACACCATTAATGGTCTTGCTAAATCACAAATGCTAAAGCGGTGCACGCAGTCCTCCTGTAAACAGCCGTTCTTTCCTCAAAACAGCAATGTGTTCACGTGTGCGGCAGTGACAACATGGAGACATTTTTATCCTTATTAAAAGCTTCCACAGATAACTGGAGTTGTCAGGCGTACTGAGAAGAATTTCACACAAGTATCTGCCACCCCTTGGCATCAGAGAAACACCTGCAGCTGCTTTTGATATTTCATTTCACAGGTGACTACACGCCAATGTAAATCACCACTGAGACTCAGCAGACGTTAGCAGAATCTGAGGTGCACGTCTCTTCACTTGGACTGGGCTACACTCTCCCCTCCTCACGTACCCTTAGGGCTGCCATGAGATCATTGAGACCAAATTAGCTTGTCATAGGTTTGACCCAGTGTTGTGTCATTGGGTCAAATCAATGCACAACGGAACATCAGT